TCACACTTGTCAGTGATGACCAGAAAGATGAACAGCAACAGGAATCATGACTTCTGAGAACAGTTTAAAAGAATTTAGGATGTTTCATCTGGGGCTCTAAGCATATAAGGGAGCACATCATAGGCTTTAGAACCCACAGCTCAGCCTTGTCATACACTAGCTACGAAATAATGGTGGACAAAATTGTATGGCCTCTCTCAGGCTGTTTCCTCATTTGTATGATAGGATTATATGGTTAACTTCTAGGATTGTTGTGAAGGCTAAATGAGGCAACACTGAGCATTAAAGCAGCATTTGAAGAAAGAAGGTATATCAGTAGGTAAATTCATCATAGCTGGTGTTATGATAAAAATACTACAGACATCACTGTTAGAGTCAATGTTTTCCTTAAGGTTAGAGATCGACATTAGCATCCAGAGTACTGGCAAGACCTTCAGCTGGAAAGCATCTGTGGTCTACTAAGATTAAAAAACAAAAACAAAAACAAAAAAAAMCCCCATGTTTTATGACTATATGCCTAAATGCTATACAACCAGCAATAAGAATCCTTATTTGTACATAACTCTTTCTAACATACTGCTATTAAATTCAGATTATCCCTTCACTGGTTTTAAACAAATTATGGTGATTTAAGTTACTTTATATAAAACTGCATCTATTTTTGTAAAACAAATAATTTTTATTCAAACTAAATCCAAGGGATTTGTAAAAATCAATGGCATCTACTCACATGGGAAAGATGAAAAAAAAAATTAATGGTTGAGGCCATTATGGGGCTGATTTTATCCATGCTAATGCGGCTATCTTTAATGTCTTTTAAGTGCTTACACATACAAACACCAGTCCCTCTCCATGGGCAATAGCCATTTAAGCTCCTAAGTAAGGAAGCCAACTCCACTTACTTGACTACCTGGGGTGAGAGCAGGCTGCTAGCTGAGGAAGGCTTTCATGGGCTGATTCATTCAGTCACAAACACCCTGACTGAATGCCTCTGTGTAGAGGACTAGATTCTTACTGCCAAGATGACATCAATGTGACTCTCCATTAAAAAAAATAATAATAAAAAGTTTTACAATACCCTTGTTCACACTGTGACTTTTGAAGTATCAATCATCCTTCACGATCATGGTCAAATGTCCCTTTACATAAAGCCATTCCCGATCCTCTATCCCTTCAATCTCAATCCCAGTCAGAATTAATCACTCCCTCTTTCGTGATCCTAATACCCTTTGATCAAACTTCACTGTTTATATTTATATTATATCGCCAAGGGAACTATGCATTTTTTCCATCTAACAACAACCAATAACAAAAAGTGAGATAAGTGGTAGGCCTTGACTAGGTGCTGAAAATAACCAGATTAAAAAAAAATAGGCTTTGTGTAAAGGGAATTCATAGCTTGTTGGAGGTGTCAAGCAGAAAATAATAATTCCAGGAAGAACAAGCCATGCAATATACTAGGGAAAAGTCCAAAGCAGGCTAAGAGTATGGAAATGAGGGAGATGAGGGCTGGCCTCACAGAGAGGGATGCTGCAGGATGAGCAAATATACATCAGGTAGAGAGAAGTCCAGGTTCAGTCCAGAAGGCAGAAAAAATGAAAGCCAAGTTTCAGTTATGCAATGTGAAAAAGTTCTAGCAATCTTCTGGACAACATTAAGCTTATGATTAATAATACCAAACACTTAAAAATCTGTTAAAGAGGGCTGGGGTTGTGGCTAAGTGGCAGAGTACTTCCTAGCATGCTTGGGGCACTGGGTTCGATCGTCAGCACCACAAAAACAAACTAAACTGAAAAAAAAATAAAGGTAATTAGGGGCTGGGGTTATAACTTAGCGGTAGAGCGCTTGCCTCACACTTGTGAGGTACTGGGTTTGATCTTTACCACCACATAAAAAATAAATAAATAAAGTAAATAAAAAAAAGGTAATTTAAAAAAATCTGTTAAGAAGGTAAATCTCGGGCTGGAGATGTGGCTCAGCGGTAGCGCGCTCGCCTGGCATGCGTGCGGCCCGGGTTCGATCCTCAGCACCACATACCAACAAAGATGTTGTGTCCGCCAAATACTAAAAAATAAATATTAAATTCTCTCTCTCTCTCTCTCTCTCTCTCTCTCTCTCTCTCTCTCTCTCTCTCTCTCTCTCTCTCTCCTCTCTCACTCTCTCTTTAAAAAAAATAAAATAATAAAAAAAAAAAAAAGAAGGTAAATCTCAGGTGATGTGCTTTTTACAATATATAAAAAAGGCAGTACTAGGTCTGGTGGTGCACACCTGTTGTCCTAGCTATTCTGGAGGCTAAGGCAGAAGAACCACAGGAGATTAAGGCCAGCCTGAGAAACTCAGTGAGACTCCCACCTCTTTAAAAAAAAAAAAAAAAAAGGCATGAAACATGGTTTGATTGTCTGGGAACCTGTAAGGAGACCACCACTAGTACTAGATTCATGGGTAAAACAGGGAGAGAAAGGAGAAACTGGAAAACAGGGTAAGAGCCACATCAGAATAGGCCCTGGGACTATGTTTGGACTTCTAATTTTCTATGTAATGAGGAGCCACAGAGAAGTAGGATCAGATCTGTATTTTGGAGCAACTCAGATGGCAGTGACAAATGGGCTAACCAGGGAGACTGAAGACTGATGTAATCTAGGGGAGAACAAAAGGCCTGGGCTAGGGCAATGGTGTGGGGGGCAGGACTGCCTTCTAAAATGCATTAGTATCTGGAGTTACCTGGTTAACTCATCTGTTTACTTTTCCATCAAAATTAAGTTATACATTAGAAACTCTTGCTTGAGGTTATATTCCCATTTCTAGAACAGAGCCTTGTATAGATCAGGTGCTCAGTCAATGACCACTAAATCCATGAACGAWTCCCTTGAAGGCAAGAACCCTGGCTAACTCCAACATGTATTCCTCAATACAATCAGTTGTATACAAAGAATGATCAAAACCATTTGCTGATTTATTTCTTTAAAGGCACATGTCCTGAATTTTTCCAAATAATGATATCAAATTGTCTTAGTGAAAAGTCCAAACAGAATTTTTCCAACTATCAGCCTTCCCAATTCACCTGGGTATCTAGCAATCCAGCTGGGCTCTGTCTGCTTTGTTGATCATTGCTGACAATAAAGTCTCAACAACGAGAGCTCAGCTGCTGCTTCTGCTGACAGGGACAGCCACGGTACTGTGGCCCTCCTATGTTTGTGCAACAGCATCCACTCACAATGCAAAGGCAGAAAATTACTCCCTTTGGCTGTAGTCACTGCTGGAGGTCTCCTCACATGCAAGCCAGGACCAGTAACTTTGAGGGTGAGGTGTGGGGTCCCACAGAGGAAGAATAAAGAGATTTAATATCTCTTGTTATATCAAGAACCAATAAAAGGGCAATTTTATAATTTTTCTGAAGTGGAATGCACCAGGCTTAAGTCATCAGCCTACTGACTCATCTCCATGGTCCTCCAACTACCAGAGTTTCAAGTCAGGTGCCTAATCACAGGAACTTTTCCAACAGCCTGTTAGTTTTAGAAAAGTGTTTTGTATCTGAGAAACATGCCCCGATAGTGTCTCCACCAATGTCAATCAGGAGTCCTTCTAGGAAATCTATACTACTTTCAGTACAATGGGGGCACAAGAATATGCACCAAAGTCACAAGCATGTGTATGAATCCTGACTTCCCCTGGCCAGCCGTGTGACCGTAAGTAAGTGATTTAACCTTTCTGAATCTGTTTTTCATTTGTAAAATGGGAATAATCCCTCTGCCTTACAGGATTCCAAAGAGATTAAATGAAGGAACCCATATAACATGATAAACTTGATGCCTGAGACCAACAGGCATTTAGTGGATGCTAGTTTCCTCCCTTACCCTGGATGGGAGTGGGAGGTCAATGAGGAGCCACCTTGTATGGAATAGGCCTCAAGGGGGTCTCACTCATGGGAAGAAGAAAGCAGCTCATGGGAGAAAAAGTATGGAAACTGACAGCAAGCTGCTTCTTCCTCTTCTATACTTGAGAAAGTTACAAAATATGAGTGACAGAGGCTGTCCCAAGTACATAAAGGAAACTAATCTGTTTGCAAAGGGAAGAAATAGCACAGGATGAAGATTGTAAGTTGTTTGAAGCTTCTTCCCTAATTACCACTCATAATGAAAATTTAATTGCCAAGTTAAAAGCAAATTTCACTTTTTCTGTCAGAGAATCTCTGCAGAAACTGGCACATTTTGTTTGAACAGGAAATCAAAGTTACTTTAATGCTTAAATGAGATCTAAGGAGCTGCAGATGTTTCACTGGGAATAACAGGCTTCAAAACTCTGCCCTATTGGGTTGTAGCAATTCACAGCTACAGGGAGAAAGAAAAGCTGTTTTGCTCTTGTTTGGATGTGGTTTGTCCAAACCACATGTATTGGAAGTTTGGTCCCAGAGTGGCAATGTTAAGACGCAGGGTCTAGCAGAAGGTCCTTAGGTCACTAGGGTAGTGCTCTTGAAGATTAATGTAATTCTTGTGAGAGGATATAAAAGAATAAGTTCAGCCATGCCCTATACTCTCTGGCTTCCTGTCTGGAGGCGATCTCTTTCTCCTGTATGTGCTCCCACCATGAGGCCTTCTGTTGTTAAGCCCTCACCAGAGGCCAAAACAATAGTGTTGCCCCATCTTGGACTTTCAGCCTCCAATACCTTGCACAAATAAACCTCTTTTTCTTCACTTAGTAGTCTTCCTCAGATAAAAAAACTGACTGATGATACAGCTGGGTAACCCAAAGAGGTGAAGAAGATTCAAATTCCAAGTACCCCAATGCTAGGCCCTCTGGGAATGAGGTGGGAGAAGGTGGTATAGGGACAGGGCCTCTAGTGTAGAAGAGAACCAGGAAACACCTCAAGAAAGGGAATGCAATTAAGAAACTTTTGGGTCATGGAAGAACAGCAAGGAACAGTAAGGTAATCTTCTTTAGGATGCTTTTATACCCTTGCCTTTATTCTGACCCACGTGGGTATCAGCCAAAAGACTGCTCACCTGTAAAGTACTGGTAAGGAAGTTGTCTTGGGAGACAATGTCCACAAAGAAGTCGGCAGGGATCTCACCAAGCTGGTGGTACAGGATGGAGATGAGGTTGATGTATAGGGTGTGATGCTTTACCATGGCTGCTTCTGATCGGCAAAGGAGATTCAGAAGCCGCTTCCAATGCTCAAATGCTTCATACACGTTGCCCAGCAGGAAGCACACAAAGGCAAACTGGAGTTCACCTGAAAGGTGTAGAGAACAGAAATGATCCTGAGGGTAAGGAGCACCAGTTGACTCTACCCTGTGTGGTTCACAAGACCATCAATTCCACTGGAACTCAGCAATAAGGAGGTCTTCTATTCTGGCATTCCAGCAGAGGCTAGTATAGGATTTTACACCTAGTAGGTACTCAGTAAATATTTGCTAAACGCTATAAATTCAAGCCATGGGAGACTAAACTGCTTTGGAGTTCTGTAAAATCTGACTGCAAGATAAAAGGTTTTCCTAGTACTTTCCTGGCATTGTAAAAGTTTACAAAATATGTGGATCTCAAATTTGGCTGCCCACCAGAATAATTAGGGGAGCTCATTAAAAGTGAAGCTGCCCAAGTCTTACCCTCAGAGACTTTGGCATTAGGAGACATGATGGCTGAAGATTTGTAACTCTAATAAGCTCCCTGGGTGATTCCAATGCAGATGACCCTGCTTGAGGTCAGAGAAATGCAGCATTACACCATAAAACCTTCAATCCATCTCCACAAGGTGATCAGGGAAAGTGGTATTTCCCCATTTTATAGATGAGGTCAAAGACTTGCCTAAGATTGCATATACATCCAATGCTCTGCAACATTAATAACAGAAAGATAAAACCGATTCTCTGCTGGGTGGGAACACTTTTAGAACAGGAAAATTTGTGAGTACTTATTCCAGGGCTAGCCTGCCAGTCAGCTTATTTTTGTTTATTTAATCACAGGGCTCTGTGATTTAATCTCTAAGAGCAGCTCAGTGGCTAAGAGCATGGGCTCTGGAGCCAAACTGCCTGGATTCAAATCTTAGCTCTACCACTTAGCATCTGTGTAACCTTGGGCAAGTTACTTAATCTATTTATGCCTCAATTTCCTTATTTGAGAGCTATAGTAAAAATTAAACCAATTAATGTAGTGCTTGTAAAGCATTTAGCATAAAACCTGGCCCAAAGCAGAACTAATAAAAAAAATAGTTATTATTCCCAATTTCCAGGAAAGCCTGTCTCAAACATAAGAGATCTGCTGATCTAGAAGCCACTGTTCATGGGCAAGCAACTGGGTCTCTGGCTGCCACAGATATATCATGGCTGACCAAAGGCATTCTCCTTGGTTTCCAAGGTGGCTGTAAGTTTAATGAGGAGTAGATACATGTGGGCCATAAAAAGAACAGATAAGCACAACACCAAATACCTCCTTAAATGTATGGCATTTGATCTGTCACCTTTAGAAAAACTAGCTAAATGTATGGCATTTGATCTGTCACCTTTAGAAAAACCAGCTCCCAAGCTTGTGTATCCAAGTCTGAATTGTGTGAATAGTTTCTTAGTCTAGGTGTTTTGGATGTTTCACCAATTACAGTCAAATTTTCTTTGTGCAATGATTTCTCTAGTTGGCTTTACCTGTTTAATTTGCAAAACTAAATATTGACCTATTCTTTGCATTTAGGATATTTAAATTTGTACATTCCCAATCTTGCCTACAATTAAATTATGATATCAGAAATATTTTTAAGGAGCTGTCATGCAGATTCAAAGCTATCCCTGTTATAACAGATCTTTTCATAGGATGTATTTTGAAAAATTGAAAAGCCTACAAGGTAGATAATAGAACTTCTATTCATTTTAAGCTAGGATTCCAAGTGTTACTTTTTACATGAAAATAGTATGTAATGCATGAAGATATATCCATTAAAAATGTTCTTTTATGGGCTGCGATTGTGGCTCAGCGGTAGAGCACTTGCCCAGCACGTGCGAGGCCCTGGGTTCGATCCTAAGCACCACATAAAAATAAATAAATAAAGGTATTGTGTCCAATTACAATTAAAAAAGATATAAAAGATGTTCTTTTATGTTATCAGCTGAGTCAATGAGAAAAAAAAAAAAAAGCCCCATAATCAAATTTCTCACCAACTTTCCAACAGGAAAACATGCACATTACTTGGACAACTGGAAGAAATATAAACAGAAATGAGGTGCCACTTTTCAACCATTTAATTCAAAGAGGACGTTGCTAAAACACCATGTTCAATACTATCCAAAGGAGGTGGGCAATAGCTTTCTACCAGATAATGAGGATGCAAATCTCTTGGTAATGTGCACATTCTGATCCAGCAATTACAATCATAAACATGTGTAAGTACACCCAGGATGTTCATAAGTCCACAATAGAAAAATAAACTTTTTGAAGATCCATCAACAGAGAACTGAACACTAACCAGCCACTAAAAATGGCTGATCCTTTCACTAACATGAAAAAAGTTTTGTTTTTGACTTCAAAGTAACATACTTTAATACTGTTTTTAAAAAGTCAGAATATACCTAAACATGAAATTAAATTTTTAAAAGATTATAATACTCAGAAATAGAGAAAATATTAAAATGAAATACAAAGAAATACAGAGAAAGGATCTGGGATTGTGGCTCAGAGGTAGAGTGCTCACCTAGCATTCGTGAGGCACTGGGTTCAATCCTCAAGACACCACATAAACATAAAATAAAGACATTGTGCCCACTATAACTAAAAAATAAATATTAAAAAAAAGAAATACAGAGAAAAAAGAAGGAAAGTAAATGTGAAAATGGTTATTTCTAGGATGTAGGATGTGAAGTGAATTTTGTTTTTTCTTTTATGATATGTATTTTTTGTAATAAGGGGGGGAAGCAACAATAAAAATGACAAAAATTAAAATAAAAACCACTATCCAATTTTAAGACAGTAGTAGACCAGTATCTTAAAAGACTGAGGATCAAACTAAGGTGGCACGGGGGCTATTAGGAGCACAAATCTGGCCTAGGAACCAGGAGCCCTGTGCCCTGGTCTCAGTCTGACCACTCTGTTAACCAAATCCCTTCCCTCTACAGGGCTAGATCATATCAATAGTTCCCAAATACAGGTTCACATAGGGGGCTTATTAGATAGAAAGATGGCCAGTTAGCCAGAAAGATAAATTGCTAGAGTCCCACTCCTTATCTCTTGACTCAAACTCTCCAAGGATAAGGGTAAACATACATTTATATCTTTAACTAGTAGGGTAAACATATATTTATACCTTTAAAAAGTATACTGGGTGAGTCCACCTCCCACCTAGGTTTAAGAACCACTGAACTAGAAAACCTAAGATTCACCCCCTATTCTAAAACACCCATACTAACATCATTCCCTGGGCCCATTCCTAGAGCATTGCTGCTTCTCACCAAGCACATCCTGGGGGCTGCTGGGGAACTGCTTGTTAAGCACAGTCTCCAACGCATAGCTCAGGTCCATGCTGTGCCTGGTTATCTCTGCTGGTGTGGCACCTGCTGGAAACATCTGTGTGGGTAGCTCCGAGAAGCGGATCTCTGTCCCAGCTCTGGGTTTCATTTCAGGTAGCCGGGCCAGGCCCTCTTGGTAGCTTTTACACTCAGTGCCACAGAGGGGTAGGTTCTGCCCCACTCGATCCTTGGTATGCTTCATGGAGAGAACCGGCAGCACATCTGAGAAGGCACAGATCTGTCGGCTCTCAGGTTGTAGTTTCTCCATCGTGGCCTCACTAACAAAGTTGGTGAGTGAGATCCATTTTTTGAGTGTGGCATATGGGTAAGGCCCCAGAAATTGATCCAGCTCTTGAAGATTGGCCCTCATGGCTTCTACTTCAGCCTCTGGGGCTGGGGACAAGTCTACCTCTTCCCGGATGGCATTCCAGCGTAAAACTGTCAGCCCCCGCTGCTGCAGGCTAAGAAAGAAGCCCATACGAGGGCCAACCTCCCTGGGATTGGCCTTGTCTACAGAGCTGTAGTGAAGGAAGTGGATTCCCGGGGGAATCATCTTCACACCCCGGAACTTAGGCCCCACTTCCCAGGAATTGTAGTCAATGCCAAACTCTGTCCCCTTGGGCATGTTCAGGATGACCACAGTAGCCCCTTCAAAGAAGAGATGCTTGGCCAGCTCAGGATCCATCTGCATGGCAGCCACAGGCCAGTGGTAGGTAACCAAAAGGAGAATCCTTCTTCCCTGTCTTCTAGAATAGCTGAAAATTAAAGAAATAAGAGTTCATTAGAACTTGGGGAAGGTTGTTTCATTTGCTGAGTATTCCCTATGTGCCAGATGTTGAATTATACTCCCTGACATAATTGTCTCCCTTAAACCTCATTGTATCTGTTTTACAGATGAGGAAAATGAGGATGATAGAAGAGGATTTTTGTGTTTTAATTTAAGAAGCAAGAACACTAATTTCACAGGTAGAAAGTCACTAGTTTTAAAAAAGTGATAGGTTACACAAGGCCCAAAATGAAATCTGTGTTCTCAGCCTGGCAGGCCAGGGTAATTTCTACTGCCCACTCTGATGATCTGTTCTCAGATATCTCTATCCCAACAGAGGTTGAAGGTGGGAAAAGCCTGAATGCTTCATTCTAAACTATAACCATGGCCACATCATCTTTTTAAATTTTTTTTAGTTGTTGGACCTTTATTTTATTTATTTTTATGTGGTGCTGAGGATCAAACCCAGTGTCTCACACATGCTAGGCAAGTGCTCTACCACTGTGCCACAACCCCAGTCCCCCAAATCATTTTAAGCTATATTTCTGTCCAAAACATATCCCTGAGAGTCCCAGATTTGGGAAGGATGATTAAATCAAGTACATATCCCATTTCCCATCAGCATCTACAAGGCACAAAAGATTTGAGGAGTGTAGAGCTTTTCAACCACAAATCCCCCCCCCTTTTTTTTTAACTCATAAAACCCTCTAAACTCCAAGGAGTGAAGCAACTTCCCAAAGAGGCACATTCTGTGGCAGAATGAATACAGGTGGCAGAAGTGGCCTAGGATCAGTATTTAGAGACAAAGGAGGCTAGAAAACTTATTTTGCCTACTTCAACCTCCTGTGAGGACACACTGATTAAACAGAACAAAACAAAACTGGAAAAAAAAAAATCTCTGTAGGCAGATGATGCCTCAATGGTATTTCTAAGAATGGTTCCAACCAATTATCTAAACTTCTATTCATGATTCACCTACCTATTCAATTTGACAAATATTCACCAAGTACCCTCATTTTGCTAGGCCCTAAAATCCACAGAATAAGACAGTTACTGCCCTTCAGGTACTTCCAATCTAGCTGGAAGTACAAACAAGACCTCAAATTTTCACAAACAGAAAAACCAACTGTTTGTTTAGTTCTGTTTACTATTTTTTTTTTTTTTTTTTGGTGGTACTGGGGATTGAACCCAGGGGCACTCTACTCCTGAGCTATATCCCTAGTCCTTTTTATTTAAAGACAGGGTCTCATTAAGTCACAGAGGCTGACCTCAAACTTGGGACCCTCCTACCCCAGACTACTGAGTCACTAGGATTACAGGCATGCACCACTACACCAAGATATCGCTTTTTATTTTAAACAAATAAAACAGTGTGGGAAGACCAAAACTTTTCCAAAAATACTGGGAGCATATTTTATTGCCTTTACTCAAAAATGACAACAAATGACTCTCACTCTAAATTAGCATTTTTTCCAAACTGTAAGTTACAACCCATAAATGAGTTAAGAAGTCTATTTAGAAGGTTTTGATCAGCACTATATTTTTAAATAAAAAGGGCAGAATTCTTGAAGCAGGGTTTGAGGTTCAGTGGTAGAGCACTTGCCTACCATTTGTGAAGCACTGGGTTTGATCCTCAGCACCATATAAAAATAACTAATCAAAATAAAGGTGTCGTGTCTATCTCCAACTAAAAATTTTGTTTTAAAAAAGAGTATAATTTTTAAAATACCTGAATACATTATAAGTAGTAAGGATGAGCATTATTTTCTGAAACTGTGTGTTTGTGTGCATGTCTAGTCATGACATGAATGTATTTGTTACTGCAGGTCACAGTCAAAAAAGTTTGGAAACCACTGCTCTAAATATTTGTATCTTCATTTTCCTATCCATAACCTGGAATTCAAAAAGTGCTTAATAAATACTTGTGAATGAACAGATATTCCATTTAGAATAACTGCTCACCAATTAGCCACCCTTCCTGTGGCATTTGTGTGCTCCTCCTTGATAATGACTTTTTTTTCCATTCTAATTCCACCATCCTTCAATCCTCTTCACTATTATCTCCAGCAGCTGGTACATGGCCTGGCACAGAGAGGCTGGGAAAAGGTTTACTGAATACGCACAAAACTCTGCAGTGTACCAATCTGCCTCACTACAGCTCTGAGTTTCTCACAGTCCTGGCATGCAGAAGATCACAACTATCGATCACAACTCTCTCCACTTCCCTAATCCAAACTATTCACCCAGTGCCTTCAAACTAGCATCAGCTCTCACTCAGAGAATGATTTTCCCTCAATCCATTCTCTACTCAACAGCCAAAGAGACCTTTTCAAAATATCCATCTAATCAGGTCACCACCCACACTTAGTCCCCTGAATGGCTTCCCCTGTAGCTCTAGGAAACCAAAATTCTTACTGTGACCTAAAAAAACCTGCACCCGCTTTGGCTTGGCAGCCCCTCCAGCTTGTTTGATGCTAGGCTCTCTGTTCCAACCACAATGGCCTTTTTTAGAACCTCAAATTAGAGAAAACTCTCTCCACCAAACGGTCAAAAATTTCTGATCTCAGCTCAATATTCATCTCAATGAAGCTTCCTTGACYCAGGACTAGGTTAGATGCCCTGTGATACAATCAAGGTGCCTTGTACTCTTCCATTTCAATTATACGGTTGCAACTTTGCATGTTTGATTCAGGGCTGTCCCCTTTCCCCACGAAACCTGAATCTTTTTGCACCCCTAAAACATATCAGGCGCTTAATAAACACATATTTAACACAAATGTAATATCCGTTTTGTATACTAGAAACAGAGTCAGTTTAGGGAAAGCCCTTACCCTAACTCACGCAGTGTAGGACTGAACCAAGTCAGGTACAGCTAAAGTCTCTAGTTAAGAAGAAAGAGAAGTTAATCCGTGTGCCTCGGGAAGCCCTAGCAACGCTGTCTGTAGAGGCGTCTTGTCAGACAGAAAAGCCTTCAAAGACAGTTCCCACCGCCGGTCCCCTCGGTCGCCACGGCGACACGGACCTAGTTCAGGGCATTCCACATTCCAAGCCAAAAGAGGGTAGCCTGGTCGCACACACAATAAAATCAAAAGACGAAAAAGAGGTCAGAAGGCCTCACTCACCTCACACCGCGCTCTGGGACCGCGGAAACACACCGGAAGTCCCGCCCCTTTGGCGTCGGATGAGAGCGACGGAGAAAGCAGTCCGGTAGAGCCCCTGGTCTCTGAAGGATTGATCCGTGCCTGCAAGTTCCGCCTCATCAAATGTTGCTTTTTTGCTACTCTTGGTTTTTCATTTTACCTCCTGAATTGTGGATAACAACTTTCATTAAACTATGATTTTGACATCGCCTCCCAGAAACATGTCCAGTAATAGTCCTTTGGTCTCAAGCAGTCATGGTCACTGAAGGATGGATTATATTAAGATTACCCAGGAACCAGCCAGACCTCAGTCTTTGACCTCCTCAATGTCTGTCCGAGTCACAGTGTCAGAACTGGCTCGTTATCACCCAGTCCCAGCTTTCTAGTCACATTCAGCCCCAGGAAAGAGCCTCAGAAACTCAGTCACCAGCCCAGAGAGGTCCAGTCGGTCTCAACAGCAGCAGCCATCACCACATTACTCCCTTTGGTAGTGATTACCCAGTGTTCTACAAGCCTAAACTGATATCTTATTCAGGCTATAAATGTACACTGAGGGACAGAAACTGCCTGTCTTGTTCTGCACTGTTTCTCTTGGAACTTGGTGTTACTAGGTGGTCTTCCTTCAAAGCTGGCTTTGAATAAAGCCTATTTTCCTACCAAATTAATTCAGAATATTTCTGATTGAGCCATCATAGCCTAGCCTCTCTTCCCCTGTTCCCAGGTACTGGTGCTGCCCAGTTAACACAAAGTCATCTTGGTACAAAAAGTATGCATTTAATTAATAATGACAGCAATATGATATTCCTGTGCTAGGTGATTGTATCAGTCAGGGTTTGACCACCAAAGAAGCAGAGCCAGTAGGAGGTAGATATTAGGTAATTTATTGCAAGGAATTGACTTATRCAATTGTGAGGACTAGGAAAACAACACCAAAATCTGTACAGCAAGCTACTCAGATATTTTTGATCTTTACACTAAACCTAGAAAATAGGTATTAGTATTCCCAATCTACAAAATAAAAAACTGAGGTTCAGGGAAGGGTTAGGCAGTCAGAGAGTGGCAGATCTGGGAAGCAAACCAGTATCTACCTGGCTATTCTTGTCCCTGTGCTGCTCCTCCTTAGCTTGTCAATCACGCTTCCTCAGTGCCAGCTCAACACACCAATCTGTCTAAGTCAAAATTCATCTCTTAGGAGGTTGCAGACTGGGCCAGGTCCTGAAGCATAGTTAATCACAGTGAACTGCTGCAGATTAATCAGAGGTTGCCTTTGCAGTTATGCACATAAATTCTGTCAGTTCCATTTCCTGCACATAGAACCTCAGCTCTCTCCCTCTTTCCCCACTCCAACTTAGGTGCTGAACTCTGTGGTCTGGTCTTAGAGCCTCCTAATCCAGGTGGGTTCACCATCTTCTCAGCAACTCCAGGGCATCGAACAGATGATGACCCAGGGATCCCACCTTGTGGGGTTGCATGTCCATACAAATCAAGGTTTCCCAACCTTGGCACTGTTGACATTTGGGGTCAGATAATTCTTTGAGGTACACAGCTGTCCTGCATATTGTAGGATTTTAGCAACATCCTGAGCTCTTTTAGATACCAGTAGCACACCCCTTGGATCTGCAAACCAAAAATATCTTCAGACATAGCCAGATGTTCCTTGGGGAAGAAATCATTCCCCTTACTCAGTTGAGAAATGTTGTTCTAGTTGAAGCACTCTAGATTATTCCCAAGAAGCAGAGAGGATAGCCCTGCATCCATGGGAGACAAAAGTACTGATCCAGAAGGTGTGGGGTCCTTAGGAGTTATGTAGGGACTCAATGCTTGCAAACCAAGTTGTGTTCCAGAACCCTAGAGGTGACAAATTATTAGAGGGAACCTATAAAAACTCAGGAAAGGGTTCACAAAGTTTCWTGCAACAATTGCCTTTGACAAGGGACAGGAATTCCAAGAATATTGAAGAATTATTTGTTACTGCATTGCCTTTTGTGTCATTTAATGAATTACCTTTACAAAGAAAAAAAATCATATTTAGTATTTGAAATTATAGGGAAATACTTAGGATATAAGTTTTAAAAAGTATTTAGAATTGTATACACAAAATGACTTCAACTCTGAAAAAGAGCATATACATGGAAAAAAGACTTGCCTGTAAGATTTTGGACAATACAAAAAGGTGGAGTAGAGAGTCACTTGATAGAATAAAATGGAAAGTGTGCTATATGTACCTCAGATGGCACAAGGAATGAGTTTAAGTTTTACCCAGATATGGTTTTTGACTTTTATATTTTTTGCATTTATTTTTATGGAAACCTCCYTTATTTGCAAGTGACACTAATTTTTTTATGGAAGTAATAGTTTCCTTTTAAAATAAGTGTAGTTTGTTTCCCCAAAGTGAGTCATTTTAAGGAAAGAGTAGTCAACAATGGGCAGTTGGTGTGAGGGTATGGAGTATATATGAAGGTTGTAAGCAAAGCTGAAGTTGGGGGTTGCTGAACATACTCTTCCTTAGGCTCCCAGTGAGGTGGGTGTTGCAGGAAAAGACCTGAGCAGAGGTGCTTTTCTTTCAAGAAGAGGAGGGACCCCATGCTGTTCTTCGATATAACACACCCTCCAGGTCTTGGGGCATGTATACTTACAGTTTCCTCTGCTTAAAACATTCTCACCCACATTCTTCATTTTACTTGATCTTTCTCTTCATTCAGCTCAAAAATCACCACCCCAGGGAGGCCCCAGCTGGCTGCCTTGCCCCGACCCGGAGGTGTTGGGGATCAAACCAAGGACCTCACACCTGCTAAACATGTACTCTCACTCAGCCCTGGTCACTTTAAAGTGACCTCCTTCAGTGGCCCGCCATCCTCTCCCTCTTGTGTATTTCCTTGCTGGTGCTAACCATCTGCAGTTGTCTTGGTCTGGTTACCTGTTTTGTTGACTGTTTCTTCCACTAGCCTCTGAGCTCCTGAATGGCAAGGAGGTTGCCTCGTTTGTTGTACCTACAGAACCGAAGCCCAGTCCTGGGCCACACCGGGAGCTCCAAACATTTGTAGAATACAAGTATTCTAAGTTGAGGTATCTCTGCTCCAGTTTTAGTCCTTCCCATAATACTTACTCATACCAGTGGCCAAGGTCGAAGAGAGGGAGAGAGAGGGAGACTAAGGAAGTCTGTGATTCAGCATCAAACACATTTATTTCACTTTTATTGAGTATACAAGAACAGAGAGCACACGCATACAGCACGGAGCACTGAGGTGGGGGAGCGTGGGGACGAGAGAGGAGAAGGGGTGTGAGTAAAAAGGAACAGGACAGCATCGCAGTTGGTTGGTAAGGTGCTTTGGAAAAAAAAATTATTTAGAGTGATGTTGCTCATGCAATTTCAGGCCAGTCTTGGAATGTACTTGCAGGATTCAAAAACTGAAACAGGTCCTGGCACTTTCTGTACCCTCAGATGGAAAAGATCCAGAGAAAGCAAAATAAGAGAAAATAAAGATTGCTAGGATGGCAGAGTGGGAATAAACCCTGGAGAGTATCTAGTTCACCCTGCTCATTTCACAAGTGGGGCTCAGTGGCCAAAGGAGGAATGCGACTAACCCAAGGTCAGATGGTGAGTCAGGGGCTGAGTCAGAATGGTCACCTAGAACCTTGACTGCCCTCCAGGACTTTTCCCGCTATGCTACCCAGCCTCCCAGATGGAGAGGCAGCACAGAAAGGATGAGAAGTATAAAAAAGGAAAAATAGGTTGAAGACAGACAAGACAAACGTCTCTATTCTCTATGGAGAGGAGGAGGAAATAGTGCCCTAGATTTCAGCTTTGTAGGTTCCCTTTTCCCTGGTGTCCCTGCTTGCTACTCCATAGAAGGAAGGTCACAGCATCCATGGGATGGGGATCTCCCCAAACCCTGGTGGCCCACAAGCTAAGCCCAGTCACTTCATCCCCACCCTGAAGCCCAGTGTCTGTAGGCAGGTGCAAAACCCAGAACAAATATCCTCCCTTTGAGGTGTCTCCAGTGTGCTCATGATGCCTGGTTCTTGCAGACAGTGGGGCCTGAGCCAAAATCCTAGTGGCTCTGAGAGGATGGAGCCATTCCAGTTCTTGGCCCAGGAAGAGTGGGAATTCTTAGGTTGAGAAGGACAGGAAGAAAGTTCTGTGGCTTCTCTACAAATCCTGGTAGATAGAGTGTGCTGCTGCACTTAGAGGGAGTTCAGTGGATCCACTGGCCTKCACCAGGCAGCAGTGGGGGACATGGTCAACCCTGCAATCTGAGAGATTTGCTCTACTTCCCATTTGCCCACAGAGACAAAAGATATTCTAGTTTCTTGTTCTATTTCAGGTCAGCACCAGTTAAATTGCTAAGGTATACATTATAGGGTTAACTGAGAAGCCAAGTGGGGTACATCTATGCTGGGCCCTCTGGAGGACATCCCTGGGTATGTCAAATGAGTTGGGAAAAGGCTCTCAGATGGGCCAGGCACGGCTGCGAACATAAGGCTGGTCAAGGTGATTTTCCAGATCTCTCCTCTCCTTCACACTTTCTCTTTCCTCCTGAGAACAGTGCCTGGCCCAAATGGGTACTCAATAAATATTTGTTGTATGAATTTATTGACCACTTTAGAAGCAAGGCTGAGAAATTAAAGTGCTGTGGGACATTTTCTCTCAGAAGGAGATTCTCCCTGAGCAGGCAAGCCTGAGGGAGCTCATGTGTGCCAGGGGGCAATGCCAAGCTTGTAACAGGGCTTATCCAAGGGCTTCTGTGGTCTCAAGACAATTGCTGGGACTTCCAGGGCAAAGGCTCAGAGCTCAGATGCAGACTGAGCAGGAGGTCTCCTGGGTCAGGATCTTACACAGAGACGGAGCCTTTGGACAACATTGCCCTTTGCTCTCCATTGTTAGGGGTAGGGGAGGCCTTTGGAAATGCAGTTTTGACCTACTGGGGTCTGTCCTGTGTTCATGGCCTTTTCATCATGGCTACTTTGGCCCAGGAAAAAGAGAATGACTCAGAATATGAAAGGAGAAGAGGAGAAGACTGAGCTGGGCATTTCACGGAGCCAGGTTAGTGCCACCATCTTCTACCTTGGCCAGGGGCACCACCTCCCTTCGGGTGTGGAGCTAGTCATCAGGGAAGGGCAAGACATGGCAAAAAAAAAAATCATCATAATAAAACAAAGAGAGGACTGAAAATCAAGGCAAGCCCCCTAGGGAGGTAGGAGGACTGAGCTAGGGGACCTCTACTGTGGGGACCTCAGCAGCAGAGTCCCAACTCTGGACACTGGATCTGAGCACAGAGCAGGTCCTGGCTGCTACTGCTGGGGGGAGAAGGCATCTTGGACCGGCATATTCAGGCCTCTGTTATTTCCTTCTTGGTGAGCCCCCATGTCTCCACTGGGGGCCCCACTCTCCCCACCAATCACCCAATTACAAACACCACACACAGTATTACTACACTGAACCCATCAGCCCCAACTGGGAGCCGCTGCACCCAAAGTCCAGGTCTCCTCAGCTGGGCTAGTTCAGCAAGATCTAGGGACCTTGGGATACATCAATCACAGTCAGATAATTATAATTTTAAAATGTCAGCTTCATACTTACCATCACTGTTTATTTTAATATTTGTTTCCTGTTATATGTAATATACATAACTTAAAAGCACATCCATACAAATCTCCTACGAGCTGCACCTTCATCAAGAGAAACCAGAAACATACAATGTCTACTTCCCTTYCCGCGGCTTCATTTTCTGTTCTTGCTTTCTCTTCTTTTCTTTTTCTTGTTTCAAATGAGAGTCATCTGCAGTGGCCCTCAGCAGGACCAGGACACAGAGGGGGAGATGGGGCAGGATAGGGGCAGGAGGGAGCCGAGACAAAAAAATGACGACAAGACGTGTGAGAGTTGAGGATGAGGGGAGGCGGAAGAAAAGAAGGTGGATTTTGCAGCCCAGTGTCAAGACCCAGAAAACARTAATCCAGTGTTCCTGCTCCTCTTTTCCAAGTGGGAGATTTTCTTTCTTTCCTTCTTGGAGAATGGTTGCCTGTGTGTGACTTGCTGCTGCGACTTCTCTTGCTTGGCTGCATGATTGTTTTCCTTTGCATTTGAGGGGGCAACAGTTGATGGAGAAGAACAAATGGAACGCTCGTCCACGGACTGGACTGTGCACAACCAGGGTTGAATGGAACTTCTACAATCATCGTGGTCTGGCTTGCTTTTGTGGTTTGCAGAAGAACATGGAGAGGAAGGGATTATGGTTGTTGTCATTTTTTTTTTCCTGAAAAATCCCACCAATTATTCAATTTGTCTGCAAAGGAAATGTAGGTTGTGGCAGATGTTGGTTGTTGCTGTCGGCCGACTGCTCCGCCAGCCCCAGCAGCAGTGCAAGGACGCGGTGTTTCCTGTATATATATCTATATCTATATATATCTATATATATATGCTTTCCCTTCCCAGTCTCTCATCAGTGACAGTACGTTGCAGCTGGGACATGAGTGTTGGTGTCGGAGAATCCAGATTGAAGGCCCCTTCTTAATGGTTTTCTGGCGTGGGTTGGACCAGACATGCCAGCACCCCTTCACGGAGGTCAGGATTCCTGGCAGCCAGAGGCAGGGGGGCACAAAGGAAAAAGAGGAGGACAAGGAAATTTAGTAACTTTTGTCACTCACCTATAAATACAAGGCAAGAAGTTACTTTAGCTACCCTTTACCACGTGCCCTTTGCTTTGATTCAGAAAGGTAGAGTGGTTTGTGCAAGGCCACACAGCTTGTGTGTGGCCCCTGGGAACCGACCCACATTCGCCCGACTCCAGAGTCCATGTGTGTTCACCGACTTGCTTCCCGGGAGACACATTTTTTACTTTGGCCTGAAAATTTGTTAAGATGTCCTCTAACAATGGGGAGCTAAGATCACAGTCATTTCACTTTTTCTTCCTATCTTGACTCAGTTCTATGAAATATTTGGTTATGATTACAGAYATTCTGTCTTTTTTTGTTTTTCTCTTTTGTTCTCCATGAGTCTGTTGTGCCCTGGAGATGAAACCCTAGACTACAGTGTTTATTTTTTATTTGTATTTTTTTGTGGTACTGGGGATTGATCCTGCGGGTACTCTACCACTGAGCTATATCCCCAGCCCTTTTATTTATTTATTTTTGAGACAGGTTTCAATAAGTTACTGAGGCTGGCCTTGAACTTGTGATCCTCCTGCCTCAACCTCTCAAGTCCCTGGGATCACAGGCATGCATCACCATGCCCTGTGAGACCTCAGTGTTTAAATAAAGAAACCAAAGCCTGGATTCCAGCTCAGGCTTGAGTCTACAACTCAGAGTTTAAGGAGATGGACTCCAAAATCAGACTCTATGAGTTCAAATCCCACCCCCCTGAGCTGGACTCTGAAATCAGACTCTATGAGTTCAAAACCCACCCCCTGGCTCTGAAAATCATGGGTGCATTTCTTAACCTCTTTAAGCCTTAGTTGCTTCTATACAATGGGTCCCACCCCACACAGTTATAAAGAGGAGTCTCATCAAGGACCTAGCACATGGTCAGTACTGAATATACAGCAGCTGTTCTCGTTATTACTATTGCCCTGATCTCCTGAAGGGCAAGGGCACCAGTGCCCAACACTGTACCTGCCATGTGGCAATGACTCAAAACCATTTAGCACATGGAATATCATCCCTGCCTTTGCCACTTACAGAWGGTCAAGTGCTAAAGAAGTTGCCAAAAAGGGATCCTTCTTGTTCATCCAAGATCTTGCTTGGATCCTTCTTGACAGATKGGAAAACTGAGGCCCAGAGGAAGTCAATGTTTTAGCAAGTTGGTTCCTGTTTTAGAACAGGTCAGTTTTCCCCCATGTAGTTAAATTTTTGAAGGCATGGCAGCTTTAGGAGCTGGGTGAGTGCCACCCCCTTGCTGGCAGAGTTTGGAAGGCAGGTGCTCTCTGAAGGAAGTGGGCCAGAGGGAGAAGATGGAGCAGAAACCACACATCTGGTCTGTGAGGTTTCAGGAGAGAAGGTGAGGACTCGTGTGACATGGATGTGTTTTTCACACTCACAGCAAGAACTTCAAGGAGGAAGTTTAAGATGGAAGACCAAGATCCAACTGGAGCAGAGACAGATGTTTTTGGAAGAATCAGGAAAGAGAAGAGGAAGACCAGCAAGATGAACACCCTTGTGGGAACAGGGTCTCAGGCTGGTGGTGAAAGTCTATGGTCTGACTTATTAGGGCTCTCCTGGTCCCMTAAACACAGCAAGATCTCAGAGGGACAAGAGAGCAGGTTTTCCCTACTGAGCACATTCTTCCTGCAAGATGCCGTCCCTATATGTCACAGATGCTGTTGAATTATTTCAGCAGCTCCTATTTATAAATGAACACCACTGGACCAGTGAGGAAACTGAGGCCCAGAGAGGTTCCAGTGGGCACACAGCTCTCAAGGTATATTTGGCTCCAAAACCTGAGCATATTCTTTCTGTTCGATTCCTAACTAGGTTTTTGTTTATTTGTTTGTTTGTTGTTTCTTAGATCAGCAGGCTACACTTTAAGCTTGCTCATTGATTAATGATTGCTCTATAAGTCAGTGTAATCAAGCTAATGGATATGTGAGATGTCCTCAAAAGACCACAGGCAATTCAGAAGCACCAGGGCATCTAAACACTACTGTATTACAATYTATTCTTCCAGGTGTATTACAGCAGAGTGCCTATGTGCAGCGTTTTTTAGCCTACTTTCAGTTAATGGTAATGATGATCATAATGAACTTCTATTGGGCACTATGCTAAGTACCACCTATGTATGATCTCTGTAACCCTGTGAGAAAGAGACTACAGAAAGTCAGTGTGATGAGGAGGCTAAGACCATAGGGTAGATATGGAGTCTAACAGATTAGGCTTAGCCTAATCAATCCATCATGKTCCCTGCTCCCTGATGGTGAACAAGCCACCTAATGTCTCTGAGCCTCAGTTTCCWCATCTGTAAAATGAATTAGCAGACAATAGTACTTATATCAGCAAAGAGCTTGGTGCCTGGGTCAGTATAAGCACTCCATAAATGATAGCAATTTTTAGTTATTACTATGATTGTCATTGCTGTTTGGCTGATGAGGAAACACAGTCTGAGAAGAAAAAATTGCTTGCTCAAGGTTATATAGACAATAAAGAGCAGGGCTTGTGATTAGAATCAGGCCTGTAGGACTGCAGGGCTTTTCTTTGGGGTAACAAGATATATCTATCCACTACAACAATGATTTTGAAGCACCTTCAGGAAGAGTTTCTAATTCAGGAAAGACCACCCCCTAGACCTCGTGGGCGTTACTCTCCTAAGAATCAGGGGTGGTAAAGCATGGGGTGGAAAAGGCAAGGGGAAACTGGCTCTCCAGGACAACATAAACAAGGTGACCTTTACAGAATGATCCCCAGAAAGGATGGAGGGAGGGAGGGGGAGAGCATGAATATGAATGGTGGTATGTGGGGGCAGAAACATCAAGAAAGAACAGAAGAGGAGGGAATGAGACAGCTTAGGAGCAGTGAGGGGGCAGATGTAAGAGACTCCAAGGTGGTGGAAGAGGCCAGATGTGGAGGCTGGGACAAGAACCCTGAAAGGCCRGAGAAAGGGGAAGGCCGGAGCCTGGGGGTGGGGGCTGGCTGGGAATCCCCAGGGAAAGATGAGGAATGAAAGAGAATGAAGARGAAATGAGCAACACACAAGGGACCCCCAGGGTCACACAACAGCCAGAAGAACACAACCAGAAGGGGGCTTGCCCTACCTCTTCACTCTGAAAATGAGGACCCTGAGTCCCCCACAAGGAAAAAAAAAAACTGACCCATGGTCACACGCTGGTCAGGGGAATGGCTAGAGCTGGTCCCTGGATTCCCAGTACAGAGCTCTTAGCAWTAGTGGCTCCTACACCTGACTGCACAGGGCCTCCCTAGGATTCCCAGGCACTCCAGTACCCAGGTCCCCTCCAGCCTCTCCAACTCAGAGGGTTCTCCAGTACTTGTATACTAAACAAGGTTCCCAGGTGAGGCAGCCAGTTCTGCACCAGCTTGGGAAGTGACCTACCCTCTGCCACTCTGAGATTTGAGGAGAGAAAGTAAGAATTACTAGACAACAGAGAGGACAAGAGTGACAATGACTTGTATAAAAGTTTTTTTTCTACACAGGAGCTTTTCTAGATGATATTTATTAATTTTTCTAAACTTTTCTAGGTAAATAGAACACTTTAACTCCAAAATAAAAATTTTAATTTTAACTTACATTAAACAGTGATAGAAAGAAACAGGTGAAATTCATTTTAATAATATATTTTGGGGGCTGGAGGTGTAGCTCAGTGGTAGAGTACTGGTCTAGCATGTGCAAGGCCCTGGGTTTGATCCCCAGCATCACCAAAACATAGAAAAACAAAATAAAAGATCTCTCTCCCCCTCAGTGTGTGTGTGTGTGTGTGTGTGTGTGTGTGTGTGTGTGTGAGAGAGAGAGAGAGAGAGAGAGAGAGAGAGAGATACATAAAACTTAACCCAATATATCCATTACAATTTCTGTAAAAATTATTGAGATAGTTTACATTTTTTCAAATTAAATATTCAAACTCCTACATTTATTCACACTTAAAGAAGATCACTTTTGGGGGGCTGGGGTTGTTGCTCAGTGGTAGAGCACTTGCCTAGCATGTGTGAGGCACTGCGTTCAATCCTCAGCACCACATTAAAATAAAGAAAGAAAGAAAGAAAGAAAGTTATTGTGTTCATTTACAACTTAAAAAAAAAGAACAATATATTTTGGATTAGCCAATTTCAAGTGCTCAACATCCATATTTGGCTAGTGGCTACCCTATTAAATAGCACAGAAAGAACATGTCAATTATTGTAGAAAGAGTTCTATTGACAAGTCTGCTCTAGACCAAAGGTTAACAGCCTTTCAATGTAGCAGAAAAAATGTTTAAGTATGCTAGTTTCATTTATTTAGGGAAAAGGGCAAAAAAAGGAGACCACCTGTTATTTATGGGATCTTTGACATAGATTTTTTTTCATTGTGTAAAAATGTATAAAGTGCACAAACCAAGTGTCAATAAGATTGTGACAAATTTTTATGTGTATGCTCCCATGTAACCAGTAGGAGATACGTTCCTAGCACCCAGAAGGTTCCCCTGCACYTCTTTACTGTAACTACTGCATCCTAGAAGTAACACCATTCTGAATTTTACCATCATTGGGATCAAAGTTTTGCCTGTTTTTGAACTTCCAATAAATAGAATCATGACATGTACTTGCTGTGTCTGCCTTATTTCATGCAACTCAATATTTGTGAGATTTTGTTTTATAGGTCTGATAAAATGTGGTAAGCTTCAAGAGGTGCCAGAAAAACATCACTCCCAGTTTAGGCTGCTGGAGGCCTTATGTTCCCTAATACCATCTCATTTCTCTTATTCCAAGGCACTGAGGGCCCACAAAGAAACAGGAAGACATTGGGGGCTGTAAGATTATRATCTCAGGAAGCCTATGAAGTCAAGGCTTTGCAGTCCCGAAAGACAGATGGGATCAAGGGCTTTGGGTATCATGTCCCCTTAGCAACATCCAGTGACCTGTGATGGAGTCAGAGACTCGAGGACAGGAATGTGACACTGGGCCTGGTAGGACTTTTTCTGATTCCAGCTTATAGGTAGTGTCCAGTGAGGTCATGTGAACCTCCCTCTGTTCCCCACAATCCCAAGTGTCACTCCTCTGTCCTCTTTTCTTACCACTTCTGGATTTACTGTTCTGGGTTTGAGGCCTGGAACCCCAAAAGAAGGAATCGAGAATACTCCATCCCCTCCTTCCTCTGACTCCCATTTTGGGGGAGCTGCCCCTCTCTTTGACCTGCAAATCAGGCAGGTGAGGGGTCAAAGCTGCACTAGGGATCAAGCCACTTGGGCTGGCAGGTTGAAATGACCACCTGAGGATCTTGCTACTGCTACCTCCTCCTCTGGCAGCCACTGTACTTTGGAGCCTTACCTGTGGCTTCTTGTCTCTCTCCTCGGGGGATGGGTCTGTCTCTCTGTATACGACAGCTTTGGTTACCAGCATGTCAGGATGCTGTAGCTTGGCTTCCTTGATGGCCAAAGCCAGGGCCTGGTGGGTAGAATAACACAGTGAGGCGCCATGGACCAGTGAGAGGAGGGAAGCTGGAGAACACAAGCTCTTTAGTGCACAGCTGGGGAAATGGGGGGGGAGAGTGGGGGGGAGTGGGGGGGAGTGGGGGGGTGGGGAGGGTGGGGGGCAGAGTGAAATGCTTAGATAGACTACAGCTCCCATCTTCTGGCCCCTTCTGTCTCCTATTCAATGACTCTTCCTTGTGGGCTCCTTCTCTGAAAGGGTCAGCAAGAAGTAGACACTTTCCCTGCCCAAAACAGTGGCCATCCATGGGTCACCCACTATAGGAGGGACTGGGCAGTGCTGCCAGAAATGACATCCCCTGTCCCCATACCTGGTCTTGGTCCACATCTTCATCCCCAGTAATGATGATTCGCTTCTCAATCCTTGTCTCAGAAAATCCTCCCTTCACAGTCTACAAGGGAAACGAAGAAGGAAAGGAAAAGCCAGGTGAGGTCTCTTTTGAGTCTGCTGGGGCAGCGGGCCATGACTGGAAACCTACCCAAAGCATCTCTTAAGGGCAAGACACCAGCAGTGTGCCCCTCTCTCCTGGCTTCCTCGGCATTTTCCTTTGCTAGTTCTGGGAATTCAGACAGCAGATCTCGCCCGGTTGCCACCACTCCCCAACTACCACACAGTTCCAAGCCTAGCTCAGAAGCTGCCTCCCTCATCCTGGTTGGCAGTGCCTCAGATTGTCCTGTCACACTACTCCCGGGGGGAGCTAAGTCTGTATCTCTCTGGCTCTGGGCCTCTCTGMCTGTGCTGGTTTTATGGGCTTGCTCCTCACCAGGCTGCAGGCTTTTGCGGGCAGGGCCCGTAGTTTGTTTATATCTGTACCCCCTCCTCCCCAACTCCCTTGCCCAATCTGACCAGGGCGGTGCCGAATGTAGGTTTGTTGAATGAACACATGAATGAAATGTGAATGGTGACAAGGTTCTACCTTAAATGACTTTGAACAATACTACGAGAGAAGATTGTACTATGATACTTATTACCTCCACTGTTTGCTGGGGTCTGGAAGCAAGTTTAGAAGAAGGGCAGGACCTAACTGTTTGGCATATTTAAGGAGGGTGTGGCTGGGGGAAATCCCAGCTGGAGTTGGGGGGGTGGGACAGAAAGAGGGGGCTCCCAAATGGCACGGCCAAGAGGGACTGTATGCTGTGGGGTGTGTGATATAAGCCCTTYCCATAAGGCTTGCAGAGCCATTGACGCTGCTCACTAAAGCTTTTGGTGCAAGGATTCTTTCGGGGAAACATGACAAAGTACTAAGTCCTGCGTGGGAGCAGGCAGGGACAGAGTCTGTGTGCACAAAGGCCAGTGCTACTCATCAGACTTACTGGATGGCTCTGYAGGACCTCAGTCACAACCCCCAGGGCTCAGCCTGGCGCCTCCAGGCTTGCAGCCCTGAATGAGCCCTCTCCTGTCTCCCTCCTGACAACTCAGAGGTGGTTGTGTGGCCACCTGCTCCTCTCCCCCATCTGTTGTCCTCATTGGCTGCTTCATGGCTGCTACCTGCAGGAATGCTTCCCTCCTCTGGTCTTTCCTCCTCCCAGCTCCAACTTCCACCTGGTCCAGGCCCTAGCCCCCAAGCCTTTGGTTTTATTGTTGTTGTTGTTTGTTTTTTCAAGCTCTCTTCCTAACTCTCCTTCTTTTTTCCATCTATCTGTACCTCCTGGAGGACCTAAGGTCCTTTCTGAAGCTTGTTTTCRCTCGGCCACTGCTCAGTTTGAAAACTTCCATGGTTTTCTAATTTCCTTTAGACTCAGACCTCCCATAGTTAGATACTTCCTGGTACCTGCCTTATTTGCTCTGTTCTATGTTCCCCTGCCCCCAGCCGGCCTAATTTTCCTGTTCCATCCTCTACATGCTGCTCCCCATTTCCCACAGACATGCCCCACTTATGCCACCTCCGGCAGCCCCAGGCACAGAGGCCAGCGTGAGGTSGATGCTCGGTAGCACTTGCTCAATGAACAAGGAAGCAAACACGCAGTTTCRGCTTCATCTTCTACTTTGCTTAGAGCACCTGCCACTGTCTTCTCCTCCTTCAGGGGTCCTGTCTGGAACCCCAGGCCCTGCTCAAAACATTTGTCCCAGGAGATGCTTTCTGACTCTTGGGGAGCCACCCTCATGTACCTCCTCTAAATTCTTCCAGCACTTAAGGCAAATGCCACAGTTCACAGTTCCTTTGAAGGAGAGGGTCTCATCCCCTAGACTGGCTGTCAAGGTTGTGAGTGCAGGGCCCGGGCCTAGGACAACAGTAGCTCAGGGCAATGCGCACAGACTCTAGAAAATGGCAGCGCCACAGGTCTCCTTTGTCCACCTTACAGACTGAGAAGCCAAAGCTGAGCCACGGTAGTGACCTTCCCGCCTGCAGCCTTCTGGGGCCCGGGCACCTGCTGCTACTCACTTTGGTAACATGGGTGGTGGTGGAGGTTGAGAGGGTTTCCGCGGTGGCGCCGTAGGTGCTGGTGAGGACATCTTTCCCGATGATCTGCAGAATATAACCACCCCCACCCCGGGCAGCAGGTCAGGACACTGGGCTCTGCAGGGGCGGGCGGGATGGGGGAAYCCAGGTACAAGCAGGGGCCCTGTGAAGGTGAAGGCTGGAAGCCAAGATACTTTGAACCATTAAGAATCCAAGAATCCCGAAATCATCAGAATCCTAGACCCATAAAACTCTCAAACCTGGGAATCTGAGATTCCTAGAGCCTGAGATTCCTGAGGCCCAGAATCCTAACAACACCCTGGAATCTGAGATTCCTGGCATCTTAGAAGGATGAACAGAGGGATCCGAGGTGGAGATGGAGCCCTCCTGATCCCCCATCCTGTCGCAACCAGGGGCTAGAGGATGGAAACAGAGAAGCAAAGAGCTGGAAAAGACCTCAGAGTGACAGACTCAGGGTCACAGGTGGGGCAGCCACAGCAGAGCCAGGCCCAGAATCCAAACTCTGGACTCCCAGTTCATTGCTCTTCCTAGTGGGCAAGGAGGGCAGGCACAACAGGTGAGGGCTGCACCCCACACGGCCGGTGCCCTGTGTGAGCGCCACAGGGATGGGGGGGAAACTGCAGAGACTCTAGTGGGCACCATGGAGCCTACGGGCATTTGAAAGTGATCCAGTTTCCTGGCTCTGCACTTAAAAGGGCACCTTTTGGGCCCAACCTGCACTTTCTGCAGGCCACAAGGGGGCCATGCCCATGTCTTCAGCTTGGAGTCCCCTAGCCTGAGCTGGCACTGCCCACTTACCGGAGAAAGAGAACGGATTTCCGTGGCCACCGTCTGTGGGCCTGGAATCATGGCAGCTGCCCCCTTCCCGGACTTGAGACTGTTCTCCTGGGGAAACAATGGTGCTCAGATGGCTAGGTCTCAGGTATGTAGGCCCCAGGATGGCCGGGGCACGTGACCACATGGCTCTCATGGCCACAAGGCTGAGTAGTAACTTAGAAGCAGAGAACTGAAGGCATCATTCAGAGCTCACTCCCTCATTCACACACACGTGCACACCCACACACTCACTCATTCAACGAACATTTACTGAGTGCCTGGTTTGAGGGACACTGTGGTGAACAAGACACAGTACTGCTCTCTGGAAGCACTAACAGAGAAATTGGGACACTCGGGTTCTTGTCCTGTCCTTGCCACATTCTAGCTATGTGACTTGGGGCAGAGCCACTTCCTCCCTCTGGGTCTCATGGATTCTTCTGTAAAAAGGGACCCATGCTCATTCCCATGGAGACCTCATGAAGTTAACAGAGGGGAAAGGATTTCACAAACTAAAATCTGTAGGAGAAATATAGACATATAGCTTGGTGATTAATATCATATCTACTGCTTTCTGGGTACTTGCTATGTGCTAGGCATCAGACACTAGTACATGCATGACCTCATTTAATCCTCACAACTGTGGGAAATCATTTTTAATATTCCTGATTTGCAGATGAGAAAAAGGAGGGCAAAAGCATGTTAAGTGGCTTGTTCAAGTCCCCCAGCAAGTTAATGGTACAGCCAGAAGCTCACCCCACGTGAGGAAGACCCCAAGTCTGACAGGTGCTTATGTTCTATGCCACCACTCTGCCCTTGGGACTTTCATTCTCAGGCCCATTCTCCTGGTCCTACCTTGAGATATAACTACAAGGTCCTCCTGGAATCATTCCTGGACATAGTGCTCCATATCTGACCAGAGGCCCAGCTCTTTGCTACCTCCCACTTCTGTACCATCCCAAGGCTCAGCCTGGTCTATCCAGGAGCCCAGAACCACCAGTTCTGCAGTTTCTCAGCTGACTGACCCCTGGTCCTGCTCTGTGCAGGGCACTGGCCTGGACCTCTGCCTGTCTGCCAAGGGACAGGAGAGAACAGAAACCCTTTGCCTTTTCCTTGCCTCCCCTCTACCTGCCTCGAGCAGAGGCTGTCRGTGACCTGGTCACTTGGCACACCATCACCAGGCACTTTCTCAGAAGCACCTGGGATCCCCGAGTGTCAGGGTAGCTTCTGGGCTCTTATCCTTTCTCTGGCTTAGAGAACAGCCACCAGCCCTTTTAATCAGGGCCATGCTGTGAAGGAGCTGCTTATTCTCTCATGGCATCCTCTTTCCCTTTCCTGGGGTCAAGCCACTCCTCTATCTTCACACCGAAAACACTAAATGGGACCAAGTTGTTCAAAACAAAGGCAGCCTCCCTCCTCCCTGCACCTCCTGTATCCTCAAGGAGGAGTGGTCCTCTCCCTGGCCAACGCAATYCCACTGTCTCTCCTCCTTCCCACTCAGGGCTCTCCTCACAGGCCACCCTCAACCTTAGGGACTTCTGCTGCCTCATCAAAACCCAAACCCCGGGCTGGGGTTGTAGCTCAGTGGTAGAGCACTTGCCTAGCATGTGTGAGGCTCTGGGTTTGATCCCCACCACCACATAAAACTAAATRAACAAAATAAAGCATTGTGTCCATCTGCAACTAAAAATATTTTAAGAAAAACACCCAAATCCCCATTTTAACCTGTAGACCAGATCTTTCTCTAGCACTAGGCCTTCAAGGCCTATTGTCTCCTGGAAATGTCCCGTAGGCACCTCAGACTCATAGGATCCCAAATGGAACTGGCTGCCTCCTCACCCCAACACACAGAGAGCACCCTCCTCTCATGCTGCTTAGATCAGTGGTTCTCGCACTTGATGGGCATTACTGGTGAGCTTATGAAAACACAGATTGCTGCCCCTGCCCCAGAGTTTCTGAGTCAAGAGGTCTAGAGCCAGGCCTGGGAATCTGCCTTTCTTGTAGGTGCCTGGGACCACACTGTGAGAACCACTGGCCAGTGAACAAGATCCCCACCCCTTCCTTCCTCCTGTCATCAGAATCTTCTACGGATGACTGAATCCTGTATTTGCCTCCCTCCAGACCTCCCTAACCCAGGGACCTTCTCTACATCCACCTCCTCAAGCTCCAGCCAGGCCCCTCTGGATACGGSCTCCTATGCCCATCCCCTGACTTGTCTTTCTGTCTCTCCCAGTGTGAGCCCCAGAGCTYGGGACACTGTCCTTTCCAGTGCTGGATTCAGTGCTTGGCATAGTACTTTACATGTCCTGGGTGTTCAATAAATATTTATTGAAGGAAGGAAAGAAGMAGGAAGGAGGGAGGAAGGAAGGGGAGGGGGGAATTTTTGCTGCAGTCCACACTCCACACAGAGGCTAATTTCCTAACAAAACACATAACTGATGATATCATGCTCCTACCTTAAAAATTTAAGTGATTCCCTATTGTCTCTGGGATGAAGTTTGGACTTCATACATGATGTTGGAGGCCCTGAAGGTTCTGGCCCAGCCCTCTTTCCAGCCGCTCCTCCCCCATTTTAACCTGTAGACCGGATCTTTCTCCAGCACTAGGCCTTCAAGGCCAATCGTCTCCTGGACTCTCCCCTGGAAATGTCCCGTAGGCACCTCAGACTCCCCCAGCTCCTCATACACTTGACRTCTGACTTCACTGACCACTGCCTTCTCCTTCAGATGCCCACCATTACCCCTACTCTGCCTGCTGCCTAGAATGGCTTCTGCTGTGACCATACCTTCATCTATCCTTCATGCACAGCTCAGCTGTCCCTGACTAGATAATGCCTTCCTCAGCTCCTGCTGCCAGAGGTGTCACCCAGAGTTATCCTCCCAGTGGTCCCTAGGCTAGCTGTTCCATGAGGGAAGGAAAGAAATAGCAGCAGCTCACATCTACAGACCCCTTACTGTGTGCAGAGCATTGTTCTCAGGGCTTCACACAGATTAYTTTCATCTTCACATGAGCCCTTTGAGATATGTGCTATTATTGCCCCTACCCCATTTTATAGAAGGKGAAAACTGAGGCTTAGAGAGGTTCAGGTGACTTGCCCAAGGTCATCCAGCCAGGAAGTGGGAGAGTTGGACCTTGTTCACCACTGTGTGCCCAGGACCTACATACAGGGGCACAGCACATTACAGATGCTCATGATGATGACTGAACAAATGAATCCTAGCAGGCAGTGTATTTTCTTTGATTCTGTATTCCCCTCAGGCAGACCGTAGAGACCTATTGATGCTTTTGGAACAAATGAATGGATAGATGGATGGATGAGTAAATGAATGCTGTAACTGTCCACTCACCTAAGGTTGAATTTAAATTTAGCCCTACAAGTTTCCTAATGCTGCATGGTGAAGGGTTGGGCGGAGCAGAGGAACCGAGTGACCAGGGAAAAGTAAGCAGGCAGGTAACTGGTTTGGGTTTATTGATCCTAAAATTTTTATTTATTCAAAACCTACCTTTGGAACACTCTAAATCAATGGAATTTTCATTTGATGTGTGTATCAGGGGTTTGGCAAGAGAAAGTATCTAAATACAACTCTCAGTAGCTCATGACATACCTGGATCAGGCACTTGCTACCTCGTCTACCCACAGTCTCAGCCCCAGCCCCAGCCCCATGCAGCCGATGTGCCCAAAAGCAGGATAAGGGAGCAGAGCAGAGTGGTTGATGTTGAAAGGGGGGCTTCTGGTGTCAGGATGCCTGGGCTTAACCTGGCACTGTTACTTATTGTGTGTGACCTTGGGTAAGTCACTTTACCTCTCTGAACTTCAGTTTCCTCATCTGTAAAGGATGTAAAAGAGAACATCCGCTTTGGTTTCATAATCTATTCAAAGTTCTCAGCTTATTGCCTGACACCATAACCAGTGTGCTGAATGCTATTTATTCTATTTCATTATTAAAGGCACTGAAGTCTCTTAAGAACCTATGAACCAGGGGCTGGGATTGTGGCTCAGTGGTGGAGTACTTGCCTAGCACATGTGAGGCACTGGGTTCGATCCTCAGAACCACATTAAAAAAACAAACAAATAAGCAAATAAAATAAAGGTATTGTGTCCATCTACAACTGAAAGTTATATATTAAAGAAAGTTTTTAAAAGGACCTATGAGGTGCTGAGGTTGTGGCTCAGTGGTAGAGCACTTGTCTCACATGTATGAGGCACTGGGTCCTATTCTCAGCACCACATATAAATAAATGAATAAAATAAAGGTCCATCAACAACTAAAAAAAAAACTTAAAAAAGAACCTATGAACGAGGCAGAATGGGGAGTATTCCCATTTTATAGATGAGGACACCTGTGGCCAAGGACCTTCCTTCATGAATCAGACAGTAAATAGGTAGCAGAACCCTAAGGTTTCTTGGAAYGTGTACAAAATCTTGAGTTTACAAACTAAGGTTCATTGCTGCCATCTACTGACCATGGTGAGGAAGTGGCCTGAGACAAGAGTAGCCTCCAATGTGGGCCCTGGTGAAGGGCTCTCAGCCTGGAGGTGAGATTAGYCAGCAGAATCTGGAGATAAGATTCTTGCATGCTAAGAATCAAAAAGTACCATCCTCCCTCTTCCCCTGCACAGCTGAGATGGCCCGGATAACAGACTCAGGGATTCCACCTCCCACATCATTCAGTTTGGAAAACTGAGGTCTGAGAGTATGTCCTGGGGCAACCTAGGTTCCAGACAGTAAATGATTGTATGTCTCACTCCAATGGGGACAGGGCAGCTTCAAGCTTCCTGAAGCAGCCTGGGCATCATTCACTTATCTGGCTGTTTTGTGGGGTGAGGGGGCTGGTCATAAGGATGCCTTCTGGGTTCCACTTACCATAGTGGTGGATATGGTCTCCGTAGTGATGGAGGGGGTGGTTGTCATGAACTCCTTCCCCACTGGGGTACTCCCATCAACCTGCTGGCCAGAAGAGGGATTGTTAGAGATGGAGAGAGCCCTCAGCTGTCACCTGGGCTCATACCATTCCAGTTACAGAGTGACAGGCTGTGGAATGAGCATGCATTGGGGAGCAGTTCACACACAAAGCCATAGAGAAGGTACACAGCACCGCCCATTTCAACATTTTTCTTTGACAAATGAAATATAATCCAAGACAATCTGACACATTCTATCCGAATTTCAGTGCATGTAACTTTTGACTTAGCAATCCATAGAAATTTATCCTGTGGATATAATTTTTCAAAAGTTCACCCAGAAATATGAACAAGGAAGTTCACCACAGCACTGAGTATTAACTGCAGAAGACAATAACCATGATAGGGTAATCAGTGGGAGACAACAAAACAAATTAGGTCCCAATTCCAGAGTAAGTTAGGGACCCATATGTTAATGTATGCTGATGTTCAAAATATATATTTTAAAAAGTAAGGTAAAAAAAGAAAATAATCACTTTTTGAAATAACTTTAAGTATATAGAGATGAAGGTATCTACATTGGGATATGCATACTTTTTTTTCCCCTGGGAGGCAACATAAGAAAATTTTCATTTGGTTCTGTTTGAATTTTATAATTGAAATTTTTTGTTGTTTTGTTTTAATGTCAATAAGAATTATCAGGCTATGAGAGTTAGAGTCAATTTAAGTTTCTTTTTACTTTTCTGTATGAAAACAAAATACAAGTTATTAAAAACAAAGCAGGTCAGAGAGAAAAAGCATTTTTCCCAAGGTCACACAGCTCATCAGAACTCTGATCATACCTGGATCAGGCACTTGTTACCTTGTCTACCCAGAGCCTCAGCCCCAGCCCCAGCCCCATGCAGCCGATGTGCCCAAAAGCAGGATAAGGGAGCAGAGCAGAGTGGTTGATGTTGAAAGAGGGGTTTAAGAGTCTTAACGGGCACTAGAGTCTTGATGGATGCTAGGCAGCCTCATAACTCGTAGCATTTTTACAAAAGTGGGAGAGAAAATTCTGGAAATAACACTGTTGCTTATGTTTCTGGTTTATGTCTCATCTCAGATTTTTTTGTTTTTGTTTTTGCTTTTTTGGCATTATTGGGAAGCAAATCCAGTGCCTTGTGCACCCTAGGCAAGCACTTTACCACTGAGCTACATCCCCAGTCCTTATTTCAGTTCTTGAAACAAAGATTGGTCTCTAGGACAGGAAAGCTGCAAGAACTGCAGCTTGTCTGGCCAGAAAGAATCACGAGGGCATCTCTTAGGCCCATAACTTCAATTTTCAAAGTTTAAAACCCACAGAAGGAATGTGGTAAACACACCCTAAGCAGTGTGCCTGGCTTTTGCCAGGGTGCTAGGATGCTAAGAAAAAGGCTCTGGTGCTTTTTTCCCCACCTAGTTTGTTCATTTTGCCAAACTAACGTGGACACTCCATACATTAAAAAAAAAAAAAAAATTACCCACGATGAACTGTTCTGACCAAATTGAGATTGGTCTCCCCAAGCCATCTCTGGGAAAAACCCCTCCAATTCCATCAAGTAGTCAAAAAAACCAGAGGTCTTAACCCACTAGCCACTAGACCTTGCAACACTCCTACAGATAGGGAAATCAAGACTTTTAAAAGTCTGATCGGCCCTATTCCTCCCACCCCCAGAGTCTGGGGAGGACTCTGAGGCTCAAAAGAGCATCAGGCTTAAAATGGTGGTTCCAGGGAAGCTGAGGTGGGAAGGTTAGCCAAGGAGCTTGACCATGGCAGTGGGAACCCACACCCAGCGCCCAATCCCCATGCTTAGGCTCCAGTGGGAAGTGCAGACTACCTGGGTGTGGTCCACAGTGGAGATCCTGCTCTGCAGCATGGCCTCTGGCTCAATCTTCTTTCTGATGGCCAGGCTGCTGACAGTCATGGTTTCTGTTTTCACAGGCTACAAGGAAACAAAGAAGGACACTTTAACTCAAGACCCATAAGATGTCTGCTTACAGGTAACTGTGGAATAGGTTAAGAGCTGTGTCCTACCCCACAGCTGGCCGGGTCTCTGGGAGGGTGTGAGGTCAGGGCAGAAGAGGCATGGTGTGAAGTCACAGACAAACAGCCCAGAGGGAGAGCCAGAGCTGCTGGCACTCCAGGCAGGCCTGCCTTGTGTCCCTGTTCCATGTCCCTGCAAGGGGGCTGTATGCCTTTTTAGGCTACCATTAAGAGGACGTTACTAATATGCCCTGTGCTGGTCCCCATGCTAAATGTCTTCCTTGTGCACGTAATATTGCTGAATCCTGAAGGCCTTCCACAGTTAAGCCTGCACCTTCCAACTGCTTCATTGGAACTAGAGCAGGAGCCACACACACGGAGGCCTGCAAGAGGTGAGGCAGAAGGTGTAAATAAGTGAAAGGACTGGTTGAGGGCTGAGGGCGGAGGTGGTGGAGAGCAGGTGGACTCCACTCAGGTTTGGCCAACTGTTATCACGGCCTCTAGAGACAGGACCATCTGATTTTTTAAACAATGATATAATAAACCCCTGGATTTTATATTTAATACCATGATTTTTAAACCAGAGTTAAAGAAAACACATCTGCTGGGTAGATCTGGCCTGAAGGCCACCTGTCTCCAAACTTACTCTAGAAGTCTTAAGCTAAATGATCCAAGTCCTCCACCAGGCTGTGCTATTCCCACTGCAGGTTTTCACACACAACTTGAATGGATGAATGGACACTAGCTTGTCATCTAGCTGTTGGGGGGAAAGGGATTCTTACAGATGGTTGTAACCCTGAATCTAGCCATTCATTCAATGAATCATCTCTTGGTGCTGAGAAGATGCCAGGCTTAGAGGAGCTGCCACCTGGCGGCAGAGCAGGCCTGTCAGTCACTGACTGTTGGAGAATCCTGGAGCAGAGGCGTTACAGAGTGTGTGGGGTGGGGGGGACGCAATAAGAGCGACACTTCTGCACAGGGTAGTCAGGAAAGCATATGCTAGGAAACTGACATCTGAGCTCTATCTCAGAGCAAGGCACAGAAAGGGAGGACAACCTTCAACCCAAAGGGTACAGCGTGGAGTGAGAACCCAGAATGGATGAGCTGGCATTTTACTGGGAGCATGGGAGGGAGGCTGGGCTGGAAGAGGTGAGGAAGCAAAGGAGCAACATGGACACAGATGAGTTTCAGAAAGATCTCTCTGTAGCTCTACAGAGAAGGGCCACAAAACAGAGAAGCTCAGGCACAGTTAGCCCCTGTGTCCTTCTCAATGACTATGTATCCTCTTCTCCAGGTGTTTCCCACTACCATCCTGAGACCCCAGGGCTGGATGAACTTAAACTACTGCCCCTTCCCCAGGAAGCCCAGGGAGATGAGCCTGAGCCTGAATGAGGAAAAACCATTCAAGTTTCAGACCAGGCTCCACAGCCTGAGAGTCTACAGACACATGCTCTCTGCAGGTGCCATGCAACACAGGCAGGAGATGAGGAGTTGAGTGAGAACAGACCACCTGTAATCGCTTGACCTCAGCAAGCAATGGGTCACAGGGTTAAAACACCAAGGAGCGCGTGTTAGGGGTAAACCGATATGGCAACATGCGAGCACAGAGCCATGCTGTTCTGTGGAGGGACAGTCATGCAACATGAGACAGCTTCAGGCTGCAGCTGGCTGCTCAGTCTTCTCCCGCAAGGCCCAGGGCCCTCTGAGCATGCAGTGCCTGGTTGGGCCCAGGCTTCGATGAAGCTCCACTGTACCTCAAACTGGGGCATATCCGGGGTAGAGCAAGCCCCTCGGTCTGGGCTGTCCTCGATGCCCCCAGACTCATCATCCTGCCCCTTGAGATCCCGGGAGAACACCAGGCCCTCAGTTTCAGAGTCGCTTTTGTCTCTGTCGAGTTCAGGCAGGCTGCGAGAGAAGTCTTCGAAGGCGCTGCCATGATAGTCACCAATAACCGTGAAGTCCACCTCAGCCTCCAGGCTGGATGTGGAGCTGACCGTGATGCTGGAGCATTTGCGCTCTATGGCCAGGTGGTTGTCTTTCAGGAACACTGCGTCCCTCTCCTGGTCCTGGTCCTCATCTCCTGTGTCACTCTCTGGGGCCCGAGGACGTGGTGGTTTGACTTTCTCCTCCGATCCCTCCCTCAGCCCTGCTCTCTATGGCCAGATAAAACCAGAGGAATGGGATGCAGGGTAGGGAGGGGGAGAGAAAAAAGGAGAGAGAGAGAGAGAACATCAAGATGGTGCATGTCAGAAGAAATCTTGAGGCTGTGTTGAGGTCCTGAATGGAGCAGGTCAGGAAATGAAAAATCAAAAAATAAAACAAAACAAACCCAGGAAAGGTTCCTTGAAATCATAACAGGCTTAAAAAACGAAAAAAAATTCTCAAGAGGAGGGATGCTCCTTCCCAAGGATCTCACACTGATGGCAAAAGCGAGTTCAAAGCAAATATCCTGCCAGTGAGTTCTGGACAGGAGGCCCCATCCAAGGCTTGGATGGAGGAGCCTATCAGAAGCGGCACTGTGCAAAAGGCAGGGATGGAATCCCGGACCCCAGGCCCATCCGTGCAGGCGGCGTCGAGAAACAAACTTAGGAGGGAGGTTAGGTACTCAGGAAACCCAGGGGAGGAGGCAGAGAGGCTGGAGCCAAGAGCTTGAGGAACACAGAGGAAGCCAGCAAGGCTTGTCAATTCCACTGAATCTCCGTGGACAGGGTCAGCATCAAACAGTGGGAAGAACAATTCAGGGCCAGGCCCTCTGGGGACGAGCTTCCAGGGAGCCGGGTGCTACACCAGATCCACCCTTAGCTCCGTGAGTGGGCCATGGGCAGGCCATGGACAGGAGGTTCTGGTCCCATCAATGTAATTGACAACAGCAGGCCAAGGAGATGCTAGCAACTCTTGTCCACTATACATACCTCTCAACTGGCCTGTCAGGGATTAAACACCACACACACATTTTTGGCTGGTCCATGACATTGTTTTCTTTTAAAAAAAAAACAATCTAACACCCACAATATATTTTTTTAAGGAACTTGACTTTAGCTTCTGGAGATTCAGTGTGCTTAGAAATTCACTTGCTAAACGGGCCTCCATTTAGCCAGTTTCTGGAAGGTCGAGAGGTGTGAGGAATACATTCCCGACAAGCCAGAGTGGAGCAGCCACAGGGGGTCGCTGCTACAGCAGGTGGGAATCTAAGAAGCGAAGCATCCTGGCCAGGTGAAGGTAACTAGGTCATCGGGACATAGAGGGACTGTAGAGACCTGAGGGCCCGAGGGGCTGGTGAATCTCAGGTGCCCCCCCTTCCCAGGGGCATTCGCGGCTAAGCTGGTGAAGCGCTTCTCTTCCCTGACCGCATCTTCGGATTTGTTCTGGATTAGAGAAGACAGTTAGTCTTAAGGAGGCAGAAAGAAACTTGAAAGGGAACCAGAGCGGAGAATGGAAACCTCTGGACTGTCAGCTTCCACAAGGCAGGAGACCAGGGACAGGATGAAGAAAGATCACTGGATAAGCCAAGCAAGACAGGTAGGAATCGAGAGGGGAGGGGCAGCAAGGCAAGCATGTAATCTGCTGGTAGTGGTGGCACCTTCTCCACGGGAGTGTGTGTGACCCTCTGGGCACCAGGTCATACCAAAAGCTGAAGGTCTTTGTGGCCAAGCTAATGTGGGCCAAGCAGATGACCCCATCCTTCAGCCTGGGCTACTCATAGATGCATTTGGGGAAAAGACCTCATAGGGATGGACAAGCAGCCTTGGGTTGCAGTAATGATGAGCGGCCACTGAATCATGCTTCTAAAAGGCTACCAGGCATGCGGTCGGTGGGGGGCACGATGGGGGCGGGGGCTCACATAGCCAGTTACCCCAGGCGCTTCCTCCAGCGTGGTTTCGCAGCCTGAATCGGGGGACGCGAGCTCTAGTTCTGTGCGCCTTTCCTGGTGGAATGTGGTAGAAATGCCCTCCCTGAAGTGTCTGGTAGCCAGAGGCATCATTGAGGAATGTGAGGTTTGGGGACTGGCAAAGTCCCCGGGGGGCTGGAGTTGGACGAAGCCCAGGTCTAAAAGCTTGTTCCGCTGTTGCTCTAACTGACCCATGCAGGCCTCTGAAGTCAACTCATTTGGAAGGGCCTTTGTTTCACTCTGACTAGCTCGACGAGTCTCAGCTCCATGGGTCTCAAATATCCGAATTTTGTTGGCCACTGAGGTCTTGCTTATGTCTTCCAGGGAGCCCTCTTGTCCCCGATCCTGGAAAGAGGTCGTCTCTTTTTGCTTTCCCGGAGGGAACACCAACCCCGGAGTTACGACCCCTTCGGCTTCCTCAGGAACAACTCTGGGCTTTCTGCTGGCCACTGGAGGTGCCCTGCGTTCACCTCCTGTGTCAGGGGGCACAATTAACCCAACTTGGTCTTTGGGCTCTGGGCTGTCTTTAGGAAGCTGGACATGTTTGAGAAATACAGGGAATTGATCTCCAAAGAGATCCCTGAGCTCTGAAGGCTCCCCTGATCCATGAGAAGCTGGGCTTGGAGAAGCTTCCTCCAGAGCTTCCAGAGCCTCAGAGTGACCAGGGGAGGCTGGCAGGGAGGTGACCACCTCCGTATGAGGAAATGCTGAGGCTTCCTGGTCCCCCATCTTAGGTTGTCCGGTTTGGGTATGAATGGCTCCCCTCTCTGTGGGGAGGAAGTTGCCTCTGTCTGGTTTGACTGGCTTCCTGACCTGAGGAGGGATGGTCCACAGAAGGGCATGGGCCTGCGGGTCCAGGCACACCCTGCCTCCTTCATTAGTGGAGTGGTCCTTCCATCCTGCTGAGGGACTTGATCTGGCCTTTTCCCTCAAGTTCCCACTGGCAGGGGACTCTTCCTTTTCAGCTGCCCTGGCTGTCTGGTGAGACTCTCCCTCCACCTCCTGCTGTGCTTCTTCCCAGTCCTCAGCAAATGTGTGTCCTGGAGAAGGTCCCTGCTGGTCATCCTGTCTTCCGTGGCTCCGGGGAGACCTGGTTCCTTCCTCGGAGGAGGCAATATGGGCTTCATCCTTGTTCCTGCCGGCAGCTGTGGCGGAGGCCCTCGGGTCTGTGGCATTCAGCTCTGAGCTCTCTGGGAGCTCCCCTAGCAGTTCCAGCTTGATGTGTCCTCCAGGAGGGGCATCCAGGCGCTCTTCTCTCTCTTCCAAAGGCAGAGGGAGAACTTGATCTTCAGAATCTTTTTCTCCATGGTTTAGATAGAAGCTCCTCTCTGCAAAGGAGGTATCAGTCTCATCGCTAGAGTCAGCTCTGGCTTCACCATGAACAGGATCCAACAGAAATGACTGGAGGCCTCCCTTGTCAGAGGCTGGAGAGGGGATGTCCACCTCTGCTGGCCTGGTTCCTGGAGTTGTGGATCTTCCACACGTCTGGAGCTCCTCCAGCCTCTTCCTTAGCTCTGCACGATCCTCCAACTGACCATCTGAGACTGGGAAGTTCCTGATGGGTGTCTCGCTGATGCCAACCCTGAGCTCGGAGCCCTCAAGGAGCTTGTCTGACAATGTGCATCCCGTAGCCTGGGCAACCCCTCCAGTACCTGCCCTGACCCAGGGGCCTTCCTCCCACACCGACTCAAAGTCTTCTGGACTTGCAATCATCCTCCCTTGCTGCTGAGTTTTGGCATTTTTGGTTCCCACCATTTCTTCTGTGGCCATTTCGACTTTGAACTTGTCCACCAGAATGTCTACCTTGGAGAGTCTGCCATCGGCAAGGACGTCAGCGAGGCCTGCCTCACTTTCTTCCTGCTGTGTGTTGGCCACTTTTAGGAGACTGAGACCGAGTTCTTCTGGCCTAGTGTATTGTCTTTCTATAAATACCCAATGCTCCGAACCCTGTGTTACAATTGGAGCAAGAAGAGTTAACATGAAATAGCAGGCACCTGAAGGGCGGGTCACCCTTCTCTCTGTAAAAAGGGACCAATCTACCACCAAAAGGTAGTCCAGTGTGGACTGGGATGGCATGTCCCCAGAACGGGTGGGGGAGAGAAAGGCATGATTATGCCAGTCCTTCTCACAGGTTATTCTTCCCATTAAGGCACCCCAAAATAACTGACTGACCTTCCTCAACCCCATCCCTCACTCGATAAGACAGGATGGGTTCTCATGCTCTCCCCGTGCTAACAATGGAGAAAGTGAGATCCATGGATGGGCCAGGACTCTTCCTCTTCCTCTTTTACTAAGACAATTGCCACTTTCAGAGGAGAAAGTACTTAGATCACTGGGAACTTCTGAATGTTAGAGCTGAAAGAGTTTAAAACATTATTCGGTCTAATCTCCTCAGTGTGTAAGTGGGGAAACCAAGGCCTGGAGAAGGTCAGTGACTTGGTCGTGGCTACCGCTTTTGATGACAGAGTCAGGATAAGAATGCCTGACTTTCAGTGCCTGGAATCTCTGCTGACTTATCTCACAACCTTGGAAGATGGGTGTCACCCGTGATCCACTGCCAAGGTAAGGGAAGCATTGAGTCCCACAGGGTTTAGTCTAAAATCTGACCTTTTTATAAGAGCTTCTGGGAAGGAAACAGATTTTGATTATTAGCAAAAATACCAAATGGCCAGGTTAGTGACAGTCAACACAATGGCTTAAAAAGTTTGAATACAATGGATTTCCATCCCAAAGAAATAAATACCAGGGTCCATCCTTGGAGAATTCTAACAAAACTCATAGGGTAATAAAGGACTGACCAGAATACATCACAGAAGGAAAAGACTTATAGACCCAGGCATCATGATGGGGCAGAGGGACCAGCATACCCAACTGTCTACTGAATGGTCCTCTACCTGCCACAAGGGGTCTTCAAACAGTACTTGGGGGGAACGATGGATTTCTGAATCATTAAGGTGGCAGGAAGGCCATTGGGTTTCTAATATTCTTGGAGCCACAGAAGACTTGTTTCCCACAAAATCTTAATGGAAGTTCATCTAGTATGTAACACAAACATCGGGCAGCCCAGTACCCTGATGTATCACTCTCCTTTGAAATCACTGCTCTGACTAAAGCCCCTCAGAACAGATATGGAAACCCTACCTAGGACTAGTGAAGAAAGGCATCTTGTCCGAGGTCACAGAGTGAGCCAGGGGCAAAGGCAAGGCAGGCCTAGGATCCAGTCCCTAACTCCGAGTTCTGTGAACTATGTCCTTTCCGCCCCAC